CTGGCTAATAGACACATGAAGAAATGCTCAAAATTACTGGTAGTCAGCGAGATGCAAATCAAAACAATAATAACATACCATCTCACCCCAGGAGCAGTAGTGCCGTTTAACAGAACATATAAATGGAGGAATAGATGTGGAGAGACTGGAACTTACATGCACTTGTGGGTAAAATAGCACAATCATTCTAGAAGGCAGTTTAGCATTTCCTTAAAAAGCTGAAAAATGATATACCATACGACCCAGGTATTGCACTCCCAGGAATATATCCCAAGGAATTTAGAACTTAGATAAGAATGGAGATCTGTACACCTGTGTTTATAGCAGTGTTATTCATAATAGGAAAAAAATGGAAAGAGCCCAAATACCAACCAACAAACAAATGGATTGAGAAACTGTGGTACAGTCGCACAGTGGAATACTATGCAGCACTAAAGAATATTTGTAAAATTCTATTAAACATGGGGGAGATTAAAATGCATTATATTAAGAGAACTAATTCAGTCTCATATGGCCTTATATTTTATGCGACCATTATTGTAATGATGAAAGGATAACTAGTTAAGAAGTATATAAACGTCCAATAGGGGAAGGGGAAAAGGTAAGTATGAAAGTCAATAGACAGCAATTTAGTGGGCAGATCAGGGAGATGGGAGTGAAGGACTAGAAAACATTCAAAGGGGACTTGAAGGGATGGTGTAATAAACATAAATCGACAGTAATTATACATAATACAATGTATATAAATGATTATATAAACACAGTGCAATATAAGTGAATGAAACACAAGGTATTTGAAAAGCAGCAATAAAGAAACCAAACAATATAGTATGCTGAGTAAATCAGTTGAGAGAAAAAAATGTCACTCTGAAGACTAAGGTACACCTGACTCAAGTCATCGTATTTTCAATCATCTGCCGTGCAATTACCTGCCTCAGAAAAGCCACCAGAGGGTCAGTTCCAATTCAGTGGTACACAACAACATATGCATGTAAAAGCTAGACAATGAATAAGAAAGACTGAAGGAGAATTGATGCCTTTATTATTACAGTATTGGTGAAGAATATTGAATATACTATGGGCTGTCAGAATATCATACAAACCCATCTTGTAAGAACAGCCTAAGTGCTCCTTAAAAATGAGGATGACAAGAATTTGCCTCACATGCTTTGGACATGTTAGCAGGAGGGACTGGGCCCTGAAGAAGGACATTATGCTTGTTAAACTATAAATGGACTTATTATAGCTTATAAATATATTATAAATAGATTTATAATAGCTGAAAAAATGGGCTCAAAAATCAGCAAGAATGTAAGGAGGATGCAAGACTGGGCCGTATTTTGAATGCGATTTCTAACTCAGAACTGACGTGATGGCATGTACCACCACCAAAAAATGCTGGTGAATAAAAGCTAAGTCCAATAACATTAGAACTTTGTCAAACTTAGCAAATATTACTGATTTTTGTGCTGTTGGGTCAGAATGAACTCACAGCTGACCTTTCAGAGGGTTTTCAGTAGGGGAAAAGTATTGCTGTTATGTGCCTGTCAAGTCACTTGTGACTCATAGCAACTCTATGGACAACAGCTGTGATCCTTGCTCTCTCCTGAGCCAACCTGATTGTCTCTGACATACCTGCCCCCATTACCCCAGTGACTGAATCAATCCATCTCATCAAGCGTCTTCATCTCCTGCGTTGACCCTCCACCCTCAGAAGCATGATGTCCCTCTCCAACGACTGGTACCTCCTTGTAAAATTTCCAAAGTTAATGTCAGACAAAGCCTCAGAATCCTTGCCTCCAAGGAGCAACCTGGTCTCACCCTCTCCAGTACAAACCTGTTTGTTCTCTAGCAGTTCATCATATATTCAACATTCTTCTCTAGCACCACAGCTCAAAGGTACATAATTTCTAAGGGAGCCCTGATGGCCTAGTGGCAAGACGCTGCACTGCAATCCCAGAGGTACACGGTTCAAATCCACCAGATGCTCTGCTGGAGAAGGAGGGGACAACCTCCTCCTATACCAGTCAGATCTGATTTGACGGTACACGTAAAAATAATACAATAAAAATTTTTAAAAAAAGGTACATAATTTCTCTTTCTATCATCCCTAGTCATTGTCTAGTTCTCTGATGCATAGCAAGCTATTGCAAAGACTATGGCCTGGTTCAGGTATACCTTAGTCTCCAGACTGATGTCATTGCTCTTCAGTACTCTGCAAAGGTCCCTGACAGTCAACTTTCCCAATGCAATTTGTCTCTTGATTTCCTGGTTACTGGTACCAAGAGTGCTGATTATGGAGCCAAGCAAACTAAAACTGTTAACTATCTCAATCTCTGTGCCATCTATCACGATGCTGTGAATTTACCCAGTGGTGAGAATCTTTTGTTTTCTTGACTTTGTGCTTCAATCCATACTGAAGGCTGCAGTCTTTGATATGGTATGAAACTCAGGCATTTTCTGTCTATAATTCCCCAATGAAAAATAAAAACTTCACGGCTGATAAAAACAGTCTCAATTATTAAGTAACCATTAGGTCTTTTAGAAACCATCGGTGGTATAATCAGTTAAGTGTTTGGCTGCTAACTGAAATGTCAATCATTTAAACACACTAGCCTCTCAGTAGGAGAAAAAAACAACAACTCAGAGTAGTCTTTTCCTATAAAGATTTATAGCAACAAGGCAATTCTACTTTGTCTTGTAGTGTCACAAGGAGTTGGAATTTACTCAGTAGTAGTGGATTATTTTTGTTTATTATATATCAGATACTCTGTCAATTATCTGATTTTAATTTTTAACCACTACCCTGTAAAATGGGTTTAGTTATCTCCTTTTGTAGGATGAGGAAACTTAAGGATTCTATAGTGACATCTCCAGTGTCACAAAGAACAGAGACAGAATTAGAATTGAGTCAATTATATACAAAGTGCCTTTTTCAATATGTTGTTGTTAGGTTCCCTAAGTTGAGTATAATTCATAGCAACCCTATGAACAACAGATCTGAATCCTGTTCTATCCTGTGCCATTTTCACTATACTCCTGTGGAATATCAAAGTTTATAAAAATAACTTACTGTAATTTAAAAAATTAACTGATTTCTCGGTCTACTTTAGCATTTAAAGAGCAAATTCTTTTCTAAAAAGTCACCCCAGTTATCAAGAGCTGTTGAACAAAAATTTGCATCTCAAAGGGCTGTTATATTTTAACTATCTATTTAATTTTAATGGCTACAAAGTAAAATTAACATTAAATAATTAACTCTGATTATAAGGAAAAGCACAGAATTAACAGATTGCAATATCAACTATGTGGCTTTTTATTAAGGAGTTCTGTTGGCCTAGTGGTAAGAAGCTGCACTGCAATCTCAAAAGCATATAGTTCAAATCTAGTTACTCCATGGGGGAAGGATGAGCAATTCCTTCCCAAGTGATTTTACTGCCTCTGATAACTATTGCCTCTGGAAAAAATTGGCTTTTTATTAACGTACCAGTTGTTGCTGTTATTGTCATCGAGTCGAGATCAACTCATAGTGACTCTATGAACAAAAGACCTAATGCCTTTCCATAGCTATCATTCTTTCTCTAAGTTCACAGAGTTTCCAGAGGCATGTGGTTTAGGAAGTGGATGCCACTCCTGCTTCCCAATCTGTTTTACAACTGGGAGCTCCACCAAAGACTGTCCACCATGGGAAACCATTATGGTATTTGATATCACCATGGCACAAGGTTCAGTATCACAGCAAACCCAGGTTACCTCACACAGCACACTGACAAAGAGTACAATTAAATAATATTATTGTTGTTAGGTGTCATCAAGTCAACTGACCCTAAGAACAGCATATTGGAATCTCAACCTATTCTGTACCATCCTCATCATGTTCAACAGGCTACAACTTACATTTAAACGCTAAATTTGCATCTTTAATAATAAGACTTTACGCGATTTATAATCATGATGGCTCTTTTCTACCTAATAATAATGCTAAGAAGTAACTTTTTCTTTTTTCATTGTTCTAGTATTCTTTATTGTACATATGTATGGATAAAATTCAGAAAGGCTTGAAGGATTTAGGTGACCAAGTGGTAAAGAGTTGCACTGCCAACCCAAAGACAAATGGTTCAAATCCACCTGATGCTTTGGCAGGAGGGGGCAAGTTGGACAGTAGGAAGTAACTTTCAATATTTGTGAGGAATAAGTATATAAATCAGCCCACTACCTTGCTTTTTTGAATCTCACTACAGAAAAAGATATCAGCTAAAAGAAACAGTGTGGTTGATAATGAAGTCAATTTCTTTCTTGACACAAACTCATTTACTTACGCCATGAGTATAAAATCTTAGAATGATTCACAAACCATGATTTGGAAACCACTGCTTTAGCTCATGTGGTTTTGTAGGGTTTTTTATGTAAGTTGTTTTAAGTAAAGTTATATTGTTCTTATTTCTGAGGAATGTTTTTTCCATGTTTAACTTACCTTCCTTCAAGAAAAAGAGAAAAAAGAAAGCAACAATATCATGAAATGTCAAAGATCAAATAAAATATCAGAAAGGGAAAAAAATTCAAATCAAACCACAGCCATTATAAAAATAACTAAAAACAAACAAAACAAAAAAAACAAACAAAAAAAAACCTTCCTACTCATTGCTGTAAAGTCAGAACTGACTCACAGCTAATCCTCCAGTGGGTTTTCAGGAGACTGTAAGTCACAAGAGCGCAGATTGTCCATTGTCCTCCTGAGGAGCGACTGGTTGATCTGAACTACCAGAGAGGCACACTTTCACATTATACTTTACTCTCTTCCTATTCTTAATTTTTGCCTACACTTAGTTATTGCAGTTATTATTTGGTAAATATATGTAATTTATATGTGATTTAAGGTCAAACAAATGAAATAATCTGAAAAAAATTTACATGAATTGTTTTAAGCCATAATTCATAAATCTAAATATTTTAAGGAACAATCTTATTTCCATAAAATCTAAGCAAAAAGCATAGCTTACACCAAATAACAATGTCATAATCCTCATATGCAGATGTTAGGAATTCATGAAGGTACGGTCGCATTAGTTCTACCCCAGTCTCTGCACAAGACCTATGGTCTAAAAAGAAAATTAATCATAGATAATTATTAGTTTATTATCATGGCCAAGTACCTAATACCAAGTAAGCTTATGAAATGTAACATAAATACTTGATTGTAATTGCTTGAGATTAATTTACATATTTGACAGCGATGTCTTCTAAAACTTACAACTTCATATTTCTGAGCTTTAACTTTAATCTACTCATTTTACTCAGTTGGTAATTGCCAACTTCTAGAATTCAGGCTTACCTAGTAAACTGTAATTCTTTTTCTTTCTAATATAGCCTAAAATATAATGACAGTTTATTGCAATGAAAGACAAACTGAGGTCATTCACCTGTACTCATTTTTAGCCATTTTTCTTGCAGATATAATAAATAATAAAATCTCTCCAAAAGGCCAGGTATAATTAATTTAATAACTTATTTTAAATAAATGTACATTAATTTATAATATATGCTTAAATTTTTACTTCAAATTAAACACATTCATTCTAGTAACAGGAGTTAATAATCATTTACTGGCAACATAAGAGCAAGAATGAGCTTTTTACTTTTTCCTTAAATAGAAAAACGGGAATGAAATATTAATTTTAAACTATTTCCAATAGAAATTTAAATGTTACTCAATTGAAAATGGCTTGGTTAAATTATCATGTAGCTATAGACTGGAATACTGGAATACCTTGTGATACTCACACTCCTCCCTAAGAATTGTTGAATACTACTTAATGACTGTGAAAATGCTGGATATATGAGAAGGGGGGGGGGGAATGTAGACACAAACAAGTATATCATATAATAAAATACTTATATATAAAATAATCATGAAGCTATCAAGAAAGGTCATCTTTTGTGTTTTGGGATTTTACAGATGATGCTTTTTTTCTTACCTAAAA